AGGCTCAGCACCCATAGCACAGTGGTTATGGCGCCAGCCCCATGCACTAAAGAGCAGCTAAACAACAACTGCAACAAGAAAATAACCCAGCACTGTAGTGGGCGCCTGTAGTCCCAGCTACTTGGCTGAGACAAGAGAATTGCTTACCCCAGAGTTTGAGGTTGCTGTGAGCTGCTGTGATACCACTGCACTCTACAAAGGCCAACATAATAAGACTCTGCCCTCCCCCGCAAAAAAAAGGAAATAAAGCAACACACATCACTGCTTGCTTTGATAATTATCTTTATGGTCTTGGGAGCTCAAAGTATTACAGCAATATATATTCTAAGCAAAAATCAAAGCACACCCACCCCATGCATAAATTCATACTAAATTTCTTCCCTAATTGCTCTGGGAATTCTTGCTACTTGAAGAATGGATACATTTCTAGATTATTCACCAGAGAGACAGAAACTAATCCCCAGATGGAAATTTCAGATTTTTCTACTTTACACTATACAGACAAAGAAATGCAAACCTGTGCACTGTGGTCTTACAGCAAGGGTGGAAAGCCTACTCCTCTGTGATACCCTAACAGTCTATAAGATGACAAAGTAAAGGCATTTGTGGGTAGCCCCATCCCTTCCAGGGCAACTTTCTTTTGATCATCTCAGTCTCTCCTTATCTTTCAATCTTCACCTATCTCTCCTGATAACTTTTTCTTCACAAATGATAAAGAAAAGTTGTTTTCTCCCAACCGTTTTTTCATGGTCCTTGAATTTTGTTTTGTCATCTCTTTTTGGCTTCGAAGAAAAAAAAGCAACTCCCCACTCAATCTACTACATGTCCCAAATTTTGGCTCAGATCCACTAGCCACTCTCAGGCCACATGTGTAATTAAAAAGACATAATGACCATTAGGAAAATGGCACCTAAGTTCTCAGTGCTTCGCAGAGCCCTTCCATCTGTGGTACTGTGTGGCTAAGAAGTACACCTCTGATGATTCTTTCCTACTGGCTTCAGGTTTTATAATTCTTGTGTTCTGGAATTCCTCTGTCAATCTCTTCTGTAACAGATGGCTTTGACTTCCAGCCCAGGTTTTACAAAGGAACGTTCCCCCTGGATGCAGGATGTCTGGAGCCATGTCCAGAAGGGACAGGCACAGGCTGATAAGCCTATCATGATCAAGGTCTCGGATCCCCGTAGCATTGGGTGCCATATCACTCAGAATCACATCCGCCCTCCCACCAGGAAGCAGTTCAAGTACTCTTTGGAAAGTTCTTGGGTCAGTCACATCAGCAGGGCACAGAAAAGTTGCTCCTTCCAGGGGAAATATGTGAAGAAGATCTACTCCAAGTACGAAGCCAATAGGAGAACTGGGATCTAAACAAGAAACAGAATGTGTTATTTATTTAGATCCTGAATCTTTCCACAATAATATAATACATGCAATAAAATGATGAAACAAAAATAAGACATTAGAACCAAAGAAAAGAGCTAATGTTTAAATAGATATACATAGGCCTTTTCCCACTATTTATAAATCCCGTAAAATTACATAGTGTGCAAGTGGCAGTCCTCACTCAGTATCTCAGGAAATTTAGGCTCAGATAGGAGGTGACTGTTCTACAGTCATCCTATTAATGGGCAGACCTCCAACTCTGAGATCATTATACTATGCACAGCTTACTCTCAATGTAAGGGTTATCCCTGAGTGGCCTTTATGATAAACTAAAATAGAAAAAGATATGCTGGTATGTAAAGTAACTCTAGATTATATCAATAAATTCATCCTCCAGCTTAATCCAATTCCTCCCAACGTAGAAACTACTGAAAACAAGCCAAATGATGGGGAAAATGGACAGATACAAAATGAAGTATAAAATTAATACCGTGCCCATATTTGAGTAAAACATTATAAAAAAGATTCCACTGTTTCAGCTTACCTAAAACAAGATTTCCAGCATCCAACTGCACTTAGCCTCCCCTTCCCTCTTCTCACTACTCACATCTGAGCCCCCATTAACAAGCCCAGCACAACCTTTCCATAGCCCCTATGCTGAGGAGAGCTGTGGCTCTCGAAGAAAAAAAAAGCAACTCCCTATCACATCAGGTTGATATGATATAGTCATACATTTCTCCTAAAGAGCAAATGGAGGAACAGAAAGTACTACAATCAGTTATTAGGGAGTCTCAGTGGTAATAGGCTCAGTGGTGGGAAAAGGAGTTGACTTTCCAGCACAATTCATTCATTCATTGAGCTCAAAAAGAAAAAAAAAAATGTTTGTTCTAAAGCCCCATGAGGCAATCCAACCACAGGTATAGGCAGTGGTCACCAAGGGGCACAGGTAAAGACAAAGGTAAAGAGTTCAAAGCAAACCCATTGCAAACCACTAGCAAAGCTGATGTACAAACCTGGGAGGGCAGCATCCCATACTCCTTTGAGTCTCAATTTCCTCACTAGGATAATTAGTACATCTTTACCCTAAGGTACTTAGGAGATATCTTGGTGAACTGCCCTACCCTGTTGACATGCCTGTGCGTGCAGGAACTCTGACTTGACAGTAGCAAATATAAATGGCAGGGGTATTCAACACCAGCAAAAACCAAGAGCAACCTTGATACCCTAAATTAGACATGTGCCTTCACAAAACAGCTCAACTGCTGCATATATGCTGGCAGAGGGCAGTTCACTGTGCCTACCCACACTCCTGGTGGTCAGAAACAGCATAGAGGCCCACCTGTGCCTGCAGAATTGACTCGCTGAACCGCCACCTGACTCCATGCTCCAGGAGCTGCCCCACAGTCTAACACCCGAAGGCCAGGCCGCAGAATCTGGTGCTTCTCATTCACCTCCAAAAGCTTGAAGGCACTTCGACACCGGTAACTCTCTACCTTCGCAGCCTTCACAAATGAGTCCCTTAAATGCCGCGACAGCCACAGGTGCTGGGCACCTGTCCGACCCTTGTAGTGACTCGCAGAAGAGTGGAACCTTTGATGCTGAAAGGAAGCTCGCACTAGCTTTAAGTACCTAGTGAGAAGAAAACAGGAGCAAGCAGAGTGGCATCACACAGATCAGCAGGACATGAGCATAGAAGGACTCTTTGTTTAACCCACCCATTTTTAGAGATGGGGCCCTAAAGCCCAAGAGGGGAGGTGACTTGACAAGGCTACACAGCCAGAAAGCAGGTGTCACTGGCTGACTTGTGTCTCCCACCCCAAAATTCATGTGTTAAAGTCCTAACCTCCAGTACGGCAGAACATGACTAGTTAGAAATAGGGTCTTTTTTTTTTTTTTTTTTTTTGAGACAGAGCCTCAAGCTGTCCCCCTGGGTAGAGTGCTGTGGCATTACAGCTCACAGCAACCTCCAACTCCTGGACTCAAGCAAGTCTCCTGCCTCCGCCTCCCAAGTAGCTGGGACCACAGGCACCCGCCACAACGCCCGGCTATTTTTTGGTTGCAGCTGTCATTGTTGTTTGGCGGGTCCGGGCTGGAGAGTTGAACCCGCCACCTTAGGTGTACATGGCTGGCACCTTAGCTGGTTGAGCTATAGGCACCAAGCCAGAAATAGGGTCTTTTAAGAGGCAATCAAGTTAAAACCAGGTCAAATGAGTGGGCCCTAATCCAATAAGACAGGCATCCTTATAAGAGGTAAGACACAGAGGGAAGACACCATTTACCAGCCAAAGAGAGAGGCTTCAGGAGAAACTAATCCTGCTGACACTCAATCTGACTTCCAGACTCCAAAAGAGAGAATTTCTGCTGTTCAAGCCACCCCACTCTGCAGTAGTTCATTATGGCAGCAAACACTGGCACTCTTTAGTTAAGACTTTTTTTTTTTCCTCCCCTAAAGGTTTCTTCCATGAGAATAGGTCCTCACCTTAGCTACCTTACATAGCTTCAGTAGTTAGCACAGGATCTGGCCTAGCACATTTCTAAATAGAACTTAACCTGTGTGGTGAGTGAAGGATAATTTCCACAATTCTTATGATAAGTTACAATTTTAACAGTTCATTGACCACCCATGACAATTGGGCATAGAGACGTTATATGTACCTCCCCTCACTGAACCCTCAAAACAAGCTCACAAAGTTCTATGCCCTTTTTTCTGAGGAAAATGTTATTAACCCCATAGCTCCAAAGCTAAAACTCCTTCAACACCAAAGTGCGCTGACAAGATTTGAAGACAACCTTCAAATTGTGACTAGTAAGTAGAGAACTGTCACTTGCCATCTTGAAATGGTTCAAGGAATCTCATGCAAAAATTGCACAGACTGCTCCAATATGCTAGAACTAATTCCAGAAGTCCAGGCATAACCCAGATTCTAGCCACATCACCCTTTTGCTTCTCAGAAGCCCTGTGCTACATCCTTCAGGCCTGCAGTCTTCTACCTGCAACCCCTTCCTCCGCCCACACCTGCTTCTCTAAAAGGCTCCTCCCTGAAGCCCCTTTCTCAACCCACTTGCCCCTCTCTCTAAAGACCTGCTGCCATCTCCCCCACCCCCTGCCTCTAAAGGTGTCTCTACCTGCAGCCAACTCTACCTGCAGCCCATCCACTTGCTTCTCTCTAAAACCCACCTGCAGCTCCCCGCCCCACCCACGTGCCTCTCTCCAGAGGTCTCTATCTGCAGCCCCCGCCCCGCTCACCTGCTTCTCTCTAAAAGCCCCCTACCTGCCTACCGTAGGCCTCTCTAGAGACCTCGCAGCGCCCTACCTCCTGGGGGGGCCTTTGCTGGCCATAAGCTGTGGTTCTAGCTGCGCCTTCGAGGGCAGGGCCGGGGCTGCGGGCCTGGCTCACCGCTCCACTGTGTCCAGTGGTGTCCAGCGCTCGGCCTCGCGTTACTCCGGCCCTCCACCACTCCCTCCCCGCAACCAGCAGGGCCCTCTCCAATGCTGGCTGAGGGTACCAGCCCACTCACCCCGCCATGGGCGCCCACTGCGCTAAGGTCTACACCACCGGAAGTGTCCTGCCCCGCTTCCGGCCAGAGGCCCTGCCCCCCGGAAGTGGGACGCAGATTCGGACAGAGCGCGGGACTCAGTATCCTGGAGCTGAAAGTCAGGTGTGCGGAGTAGGGAAACGTAGAACTGGGCAGGGCGGATAGGAGTAGGCCGGGAGCAGGAAGCGCGAGGGGTTTGAGAGCCGGGAAAACCCGACGGGGAAGGCGGAAGAGCACAAAGAGAGAAAAGGGAATCAGAGGGCCGGGAGCGGGAAGCGCGCTAGGCTGGGTAACCAGGTAGAAACTGGGAACCGAGCAGCCGAATTTGGGGGGCCGAGGAGGGGGCTCCGTGGGCCTGGGGAGCTTAGGTGGGAGAACAGGAGTGGGGCCTGGGTGTGGGGTGCAGTACCAGGCAAGGCCCTGGCCAGGAAACCAGCTCTGATGTATGTGGCTGCCGCCCTAGCCTCTGAGCTCCTGGCGCCAAGCCTAAATGAGATACTTTTTAAAAAGACTTACGTAATCAGTGCATAATAAATGACAGCTTGGACACTGCTGGTATCGTTACCACAAAGCCTGACCTAGGCGGCTGGGGCTTCCCACACAAACAGAATAGTGTCAGGACAAAGTACACAGGCCTCCTGGGAAAGATGACGACAGACCTGCCTCCCTTCCTTGACTTGCCCCCCCACACACACCAGGACCCATCCTTGGTCCTTTCCTCAAACACCATAACTTCTAAGGAAGATCCCTGGTCCAGAATGCTATCTTGACCAGATGTGTTCCAGGTTGGAATAGGGACAGAGCAACAGGAAACTGGTCCTGGTCCTCCAGCATTTTTCCAAGGTCCTTTTTCCAGCAGGGACCCTGGCAGAGGCATCACCCTCAGAACCTTTCTCAGGACCTATACACCTGTAGGAACAGGAAGGGCCCCTGTGGCTCCATTAATCTACACTGAGTGCCAGGTCCCACAGCAGCAACAAGAGCACAGTAAGTGGAACATGAGCTCCTACCCTAGAGGGAGGACCAGGCCAGCCTCAATGGGTAGACCTGCTGCTGCAGAGAGACAGGCCACATCCCAGAAGGCCAAAAGAAGCCAAGGCCAAAACCTGACCTGAGAGCGTTGCATAACCTGCATGATTATTTGGGTGCTAGCTGGGGATGGGGGCTAGCCTGTCTGCCCTACTGCTTGTGCAGATGAGCCTGAAGTTCCTGGGGGCAGGCATGGCAGCAAGAGCCCCCTTTGGAAAGGCCATGTCACCCTCTTGTAGCTCAGTGCCAAGGAGTGGGGAGAGGGAGATACCCTACCACCTGCAGGTCCACCCTAGCAAGTGAAGGGGCTGGCACTAATGCCACTGGGTTCTGAGGGCCAGGCCTGTCACCCCTGAAAATCCTTTGTTCAATAGTAGATTTCCAACACTGGCAGGGCTGGGAAATTACCACCAGGCCTCCTCCACTTCCCCACAAGAACTCTCCCTTCAACCTGGCTGCTGCAGCACATCCAAGATGAGGCTAACCCCATCCTCTTTCTTTCCTCTTAGAATCTAGGGGACCATGGGCGCCTCCAGGCTGTATACCTTGGTGCTGGTGCTGCAGCCTCAGAGAGTTCTCTTAGGCATGAAGAAGCGAGGCTTCGGGGCTGGCCGGTGGAATGGCTTCGGGGGCAAAGTGCATGAAGGAGAGACCATTGAGGATGGGGCCAAGAGGTGAGAAAGGGGCAGATAGGACCACAGAAGCAACTCCTGCAACCTGGAGTATGTATTAAACCCGTGAGTCTGCTTCCTCATCTCAGTATGCAGGTAGAAAGCTCAATACCTCTTAGGATTGTTGTGAAGAGTAAATGAAGAAGTGCATATAAAGGACTTAGAACAGTGCCCAGCTTGTTGCTGTGTGGCGGTGGTGATGGCTCTAGGATGGACCTAAGTTGAACAATCCCAGCTGCCTCACTGTACAGCTCATTGGCTTATCAGTCACCTGGGTTCTGCATTTGAGGAGCTAGTGATCACGTTCATCTAAAGCAGCGGTTCTCAACCTGTGGGTTGCGACCCCCCACAGGGGTCACCTAAGACCATCCTGCATATCAGATATTTACATTACGATTCATAACAGTAGCAAAATTACGTTATGAAATAGCAATGAAAATAATTTTATGGTTGGGGGTCACCACAACATGAGAAACTGTATTAAAGTGCTGCAACATTAGTAAAGCGCTGCAACATTAGGAAGGTTGAGAACCACTGATGTAAAGCCTATTGCGCACAGTCTCACCTAATCCTCAACATAGCTGGCTTCACATGGGAAGGAGCTGAAGGGCAGAGAGGTCGAGAACGTGCCTAAGCCCTCACAGCCCTCCAGACATGAAACTTTCTGCCCTTCCTGCTACTCCAGGTTTGTGAAGATAAACAAGATCTCTGTACAAACATGACAAAGCAATGCACAAACATTAGCTCCTGTTAATGTTATTCTTGTTCTGAAAAAGGTTGGCAACCTTAAAGCTACTTTCCCTGGAGAAGAGGAAAGCTGGGCCAGCCCATTGGCTTTCAGGTTATTTTCTTTACAACCCACAGTAAAAGATGTCTTTGATTCTCTGAGACCATCCATCAGGTCATGGGTTAATGTAGCACTGCCCTGTGTGGAACTCCAGAACAAAGGAACAGGACACAGCTCCTACCCCTCCATAGGCCCCATCTCATTTGGCTGCTGGGTTTAGGAGATGTGTACACGGGTTCAAACCCAGCCCTGGGCAGAAAAACTGCAAAAGAAAAAAAGGAGATGTGTGCAGAAGGGAGGTCTGGTCCATACCTGGAAGTCAGGGCCTCTAGGACAAAAAGGGTGAATAATAACTGGGCACAAGGAAAACTCCCTAAGGACCTGACATAAGGGAGAAATGGCCATTACCAGAAGCAGGATGTGTTGAAGGGGCTCTAGCCATCAAGGTTGAGGGTCAGGGACTGAGAAAACTGGATAGGAGCTCCAAGTGGCTGAATTTCAGCTTTTGTTTTGCTGGTAAAAAGCAATCTTGCAGCCTTGATTTATTTTCTTACAAACATACTTGGGATCTTGGAAACTTTTCCTCCTGCACTCTATCAATGTTCAGTTCTTGAATGCAACATGAACATAGGACATCA